ATAAAAAGATAGGAAAGTACAGTTTCCTATCTGCCTTTAATCTGCCCTTTCCCTGTAAAAGCTTCCAATATACTGACACTATGGCTGCTTAGTGTCACCTTCTGATATTGATGGAGTTGGCTTATCCCAAAGCCTCCTTATTGACCTCTCTAAGTCTGTTGGTCACAGTTCAAAGGTCATGCAGTGTATTATGGTTAAGTACAAATCTCCTGGGTGAATTTTCACATAAATTCATCAGGACTATAAATTTTGAATTTGCATGGATTCACCTCGAACCCATGGTAGAGGTGAACCTAAACCTCATCCTTAATGTTGAGGACTGATTTTTTTTTTTTGTTGAACTCAGTTTTTAACATGTTAACCACGTGAGAACCAGCTTGGATATACCCCTTCATTACAAAGCCATTTTCCATTTAGTGTGTGAGTTACCCTTTAAAGTGGTTGTAAAGTCTAAAGTATAGCAGTCCTCCCAGCTCCTCTAACACTTACCTGAGCCCGCTCTTGATCCAGCAATGTCCATGACAGCCTCGGTTCTCCAGGGACTCTCAATCCTGATTGGCTGAGGCAGTAGCGGTAGTCATTGGCATTTTGACAGCAGAGACCCTCCCCTACGCGCTACGCCACCGGGTCACATGGCTTCATCAGGGGGAAATGATTCTATAAGAGTCCTAAGGATGTGAGGAGGCCCCTAATTGTGAAGAGGGATATTTCCATCCATCTCTAAGTCCAATTAAAGGGACACAAGCCTTACAGTTGCAAGAAAAAGTATGTGAACCCCTTGGGATTACGAGGAGTTTTGCATGAATTGGGCATAAAATGTGCTCTGAACGTCATCTAAGTAAAAATGTTAGCATGTGCCAGAGATTTCTGTAGGTCTTTAGATGACACTCTGGGATTCTTCTTTACCTCATGCAGCATTCTGCGCTGTGCTCTTGCAGTCATTTTTACAGGATGACCGCTCCTAGGGAGAGTAGCAACAGTGCTAAACTTTCTCCATTTGTAGACAGTCTGTCTTACCGTGGACACATGAACATCAAGGCTTTTGGAGATACTTTTGTAACCCTTTCCAGCTTCATGCAAGTCAACAATTCTTGATCGTAGGTCTTCTGAGAGCTCTTTTCTGCGAGGCATGGTTCACATCAGACAGTGCTTCTTGAAACCAGTAAACCCAAAACAGGTGTGTGTTTTTTAAGGGCAGGACAGCTGTCAGCAACACATCCAATATCATCACACTGATTGGAGTCAAGGTTGGCTCACTCCTGGCTCCAATTAGCTCTGGGAAAAGTCATTAAGCTAGGGCCTCACATACTTTTTCCTCCCTGCACTGTGAATGTTTACATGTTATGTGCAATTAAACCATGGCAACATCTAATGTTTGTGTAGTATTATGTTCAGCAGACTGTGTTCTTCTATTGTTGTGACTTAGATGACGTTTAGAGCACATTTTATGCCCAATTCATGCAAAACTCCACGTAATCCCAAGGGGTTCACATACTTTTTCTTGCAACTGTATATGATCTCACTTAATGGTTTGGTCATATATGCCACGTGAGAGCACAGCCGGTGAAGGTGCACATTTTCATGATTGGTGGATCGCACGCAAATCATTTCTTATCACATCACTAGAAGGAATGTTAAAGATACGGATTGATTAAGGACATTTTTTGCAGCAGAAGCACGATTGCATTATCACATATAAATTTGCTGTTGGACTGTATTTAATTTATTTAATTTTTTCAATCTTTATTGCAATTGTCAGTGATGCGTGACACTGTTTATAATTTTTTGCTTGTCATTGGTGTCTTTCCCCAAAACATCGGTGGCCAGTGTGCCCTCTTTATGATCAATATGCCCTGTATACCCTCTTGCTACTCAGTGTACTCCCTTGCTGCTCGGTGTTCCCCTTCCCTTGCTACTCAGTGTGCCCCTCTTTACATTGATGGCTAGTGGAGGCAGTGTTACTTACATCATTGATTTGCGGGGAAATGATTGGTGGCAGATGAGGAAGGGGAAAACATTGTAAACACTGCCAATGTTTAACCACTTGCAGACCAGTAGTAGTACATTTACTGCTGGTTGGCGGCTTCCCCAGGCACCGCAAAGTACTGGTATGTCGCAGTGCTCATGTGAACCTCCCCTGGGGTGTGTAGAGGCGCGCTCTGCAACAGCTGTGCCCAGGGACACATCAGACTGTGGTGCTCAGTATCGGGCTGCTGAGTCATGAAAGGAATCCATTAACCACTTCAAGTCTGGACATTTTCACCCTCTTCCAGTCCAGGCCAATGTTTAGCTTTCAGCGCTGTCACACTTTGAATGACAATTGCGCGGTCATGCAACACTGTACCCATATGACATTTTTAGCATTTTTTGAGACAAACTTTATTTTGGTGTTTTTTATTTACCACTGGGATTTTATTTTTTTTGCTATATAAATGAAAAAGATCAAAAATTTTGAGAAAAAATGTTTTTCTTATAAAAAACTAAATAATCTTTCTTCATAAATCTTGGCCAAAATGTATTCAGTTATCTTTTTGTAAAAAAAGAAAATAAACCCAAACCAGTTTATAAAAAAAACAAAAATAATTAAACATTTTATTTTTACATTTTTCTTATTATTATTTATGTATTTTATTTTACATACTCTCACCCTAGCAGTACAGTGTCACCATAGTGACACTGTACTACTTGTGGGGGTGATGAAGATTTTTTTTTTTTTTTTTACACAGATTGCTTTTACACCAATAAAGGCAAAAGCAACAATTTCTCCTTCTCTCTGGCTGCATTTCTGCAGCCATTGAGAAATACAGTGAGAGCTGTAATTGGTCACAGCTTATCACATGGTACAAGGCTGTTGTGAATAGCCTTGGCCCAAGTGACCTCTCTGATCATTCACGGAATTCACAAGTAGTGAGCAATGATGTCAGAAAGTGACATCTTGTTTACTACTATTCATGTGATCACTGATTGGCCAATCACCTCTCACAGTGGTCCCGTACATCAATCTTTGTTTCCCAGAGGCCGGCGATCAGAGTAGGCACATGTACATAAAGCCTTAAGGTCTGCATCTACTTTAAGCATATGTCTGAGTGAAACATAGCTTAGTTTTCTATCATGAGATCCAAAGATGAACTTACACATTAGCAACAGCCTATGTTTGCATCATACAAATAGCACTTACCCTCACAGCCAATGAAGTGCTTGCTTTGTTCCCGGGCCACCCCATAAGCCAGAGATGGAAACCTCAAGTCATATCAAAGGAATCTGTCGACAACACAAAAGGAACCTAAGACAGGTTTCAGTGAATGAACCATGTTATTATCCTCTTAAACCACCTGAGGGCAGTTGTTCCAAGAAAAAAAAAATTGTTTACTCAGTAAACAAACCTGATCGCCTCTGCTTGAGGGCTCCATGGGCAGAGCTAATGTGACAGTCTCCAAAATTAACCTGGGGAAACACCTCCTGCCTACTTTGCCCTTTTGGAAATGGTATATATACTTCAGACATTTGCTGTCAGGAGAGATCTCTGTAGTTGAAGAGCACCTACCTGTTCTTCTCCTACCTGTTCTTCTTGATCTGTAAAAAGTGATGTGCCTTCAGTCTGCGATGTGTCCTTCCAACAGAAGAGACTCGTCTGACACGCCAATGGACAAATTGGGAAAGACGTGGCCAGCATGTAAGAGTGGTCGGGCGTCACTTAAGAGGAAACCTAGAAGGGTGTTGTACCCACCTCTGGTTAAGAAATATTTGCCACGTGAGGAGAAGGACATCGCCAAGAAATGGCTGGTCATATTTGGGGCCATTGTGCTTCTTCAGGTCTACTGCGAAGATGCCACTGAATGTGAACTTTTTGGAACTATCATTCTTCCCCTGGAGACCAGACCACCTTTAGCCAAGTTGTTGAAGGAAATGTCTTCTCAACAGTCAGCAAATGTTTCTATCTTGCTCTTCATGACCGTGGATCAAGAAAAACTGAATGATGTATTCTCTGGAGGTACAAGCAGAGAAAGAGACTCTAATTCTTTGCAGTAGCAAGCTCCAGAAAGAGGAACTGGTTTCTAGAGTTGTGTGAAGCACCTGAAATTGGACTGTGGATGGAGAACTAAACTTCTTTGGAGCACCTTATCCACTACGAACAGTTGGAAAACAGATTTATGGAGTTCACAGGACAATATGTGTACCTAAAACTTGACGATGAGTGGTGAAAAAAGGTTGCAGAGAAGATTAAAAATCCTTTTTGGAGTTGTAAAGGACAGTATATCAATGGGTGATACTTCTACCGTGGACTAAAGAATTCAAGTCAAAAGGGACATCAGGATGGCAAAGGTTGTGCCAATTTTGACTTCACTTGAGCACCAGCACTGCCAATGACAGGTCTGTGCCAGGGGCAGGGACATTACTTAGCAAATGACACCTAATAAGAAAGAACTGTGGCGTCACTTGTAGAATTATATAAATCGTTATACCTCAGAAACATTGCATTGTCTTTTGTATCTTTACACTTTGCCCTAGAGGCATTGTTGAAATGTCAGCAAAGTGTTTTATGAGTTTATATAGAAAAAATCTTAAATCATGCAATTAGTATGTGTCTGTGTGTTCCATCACTCACCACTACGATGCGCGGTATTGAGTTCAGGTAATGTACACGCCACTCAAATTACACGTGCAGAAGGTTTATCTTGTGGCTGAGTCAAAACAAAACTACAAGGCCAACTGACTTAAAGCAAAATTCCTCCTGACAAATTTGATTTGTGAATGCAGGATAGTTAAATGGTCAGTTATGTTAACAGTATTTATGAGCTGTTGTGTTTCATTATTTTTGTTTGGGCTATTGAAGTACCTGCAGACATTTTGATATTTTACTAAATGACGTTGCAAGTCCGTAGACATACCTGTGCAACTAGATTCTCTACAGATTTTGAAATGTTCACAGAGGCCCAAGCTTTGCTGGTCCAACAAAGGGAGCTGGGGATACTTCAAGAGCAGGGGTGGACTGACAACTCATGGGGCCCCCGGGCAATAGGGGATCATGGGGCCCCTGTGTCCTTGCCCAAACTCAAGAAAGCCTATGAAAAAGATACCAGGGGCATCTCAAGGGGCCCCCTACTGACCCCGGGCCCCCGGGCCCCCGGGCAGTGCCTGAGTTTCCAAATGGTCAGTCCGCCCCTGTTCAAGAGCCTGTACAGTCATAAGGAAACTAGATAGAAAATGCATACTATGAGGCTGCCAAGACACAGGCTCCCTTACCACATGTTATGGGATCGTGGAGTGGCTCAGACCCTCTGGCAGGATACAGCAGATATGATCAAGAACATAACAGGTTTTACGGCACCCTATAAGCTGCCTAACATATGGCTCAAACCCAAAATTTCCTAGTGCTTGCAAGACATTGATCTATACTCTGTTTGTAGCAGGTCTATGGGTAAAAGCCTCAGGTTGGCATATGTCATCGATCTCATTTAACCAAGCACTACACAGAATGGACTCCTTGATACATGTGTAGGGGATCCTCCATATTATTCAATACCCCTCGATTTCACTTTAAATGGGATGGATGGCTGTCATACAGAAAACAGCCCCACCCTTCTTCAAGTGACACTAAACTCTGGTCAATTATATTCATGTATGTATTCTTATTTCCAAAAAGTTCCTTCTATTGTTCTCAGCCTTTGCCAAGTCTCTATTTTTTTTTTTTTTTTGCTGCTGTGTTCAGAACTCCTGTTAAAGGGTGGCTACATTTGTTCTCCATGGTCCTATTGTATGTAGGAATGCAGCCACCCTCTCTTGCTCTCTCCTGAAAAGGACTATAAATTATGGGATTAGAGATTTATTGGGACTATGGTCTATAGACCAGCCTTTCTCAACCAGGGTGCCTTGGGTTTCTTCAAGAGTGCCTTGGCATAATGTGTAAAAATTGCCCAAAACATGTATACAAGCCAGCGCGTGGAACAAGTCTGCCTTTAGTTACACAAAGCCACAGGTTTTCATTGTGCACCATTACGACCTTCTAGCTACTGGCATCCTGACAACCAATGACATCTTCAGTTGATGAGGATGTCAGCTGCCTGCACACTATCCTAGTTTGAACCTCCCCTGTCCCTCTCCATCGGTGCTGGGGTCACATTAGCTCAGTGATGGATAAAAACTGAGGGAGAAGAGAAACACTGGAATACTAGTCAGTACCAGTGTTCAAAAGTTTATTTGCTTTGGAAGAATAAATCCCCTCTAATGTTGGGTGTCCTACATGTGTGGATGTTGCTGCATTATATAAAACTATTAGAATCCTTTTTCAGATTTTAGAAAGGGGATCCCTTTTAAAATTATGGACAGTCTAGAGGCACCCCATTTTAGAATGGGGTGCCTCAAGACTGTCCATAATTTTAAAGGGTGCCTCTGGATTATCCATATTTTAAAGGGTGCCTTGACTGAAAAAAGGTTAAGAAACACTGTTATAGACTATATGGGACTATGGACTATGGGATTATAGCATTTGTCTGTATGGGACTATAGACTATGGGGTTGATTTACTAAAACTGGAGAATACAAAATGTGGTGCAGCTGTGCATGGTATCCAATCAGCATCTATCTTCAGCTTGTTTAATTAAGCTTTGACCATAAAACCTGGAAGATGATTGGTTTATATGCAGAGCTGCACCAGATTTTGCACTCTCCAGGTTTAATATATCACCCTATGACTATGGACCAGCCTTTCTCCCTGGGGTGCCTTGAGGTTTCTTCAGGGGTGCCTTGGCAAAATGTCTACAAATTGCCCCAAACTTTTATACAAGCCAGCAGGAGGAAAAAGCTTGCCTTATAGTTACACAAAGCCACAGGTTTTCATTCCGCACCATTAGGACCTTCAAGCCGGTGGCCTGACAACCAATTACATCTTCAGTTGAGAAGGAGGACATCAGTTGTCTGCACAGCATCCTAATTTGACTCTCCCCTGCCCCTCTCCATCAGTGCTGGGGTCACAGTGATGGAGAAAAACTGAGGGCGAAGAAAAACACTGGAATACTACTCACTACCAGTGTGCAAATGTTTATTTGCTTTGGAAGAATAAATCACCTCCAATGTTGGGTGTCCTACATGTGTGGATGTTGCTGCGTTATATAAAAAACTATTAGAATAGTTTTTCATGTTTTAGAATGGGGATCCCTTTTTAAACTTATGGACAGTCTAGAGGCACCCCATTTTAGAATGGGGTGCCTCAAGACTGTCCATAATTTTAAAGGGTGTCTTGGGACTGTCCATAATTTTAAAGGGTACCTTGACTGCAAAAAGGTTGAGAAACACTACTATAGACTATAGTAGGGACTACATGGGACTACAGGCTGTGGACTATAGACTATGAGTATATGGGACTATGGACTATAGAACTATAGACTATATGGGACTATGGACTATGGGACTATAGACTATGACTATATGGGACTATGGACTATAAAACTATAGACTATATGGGATTATGGGATTATAGACTATATGAGAGTATGGACTATGAGATTATAGACTATATGGGACTATGGGATTATAGACTTTGTCTGTATGGGACTATGGTACTATAGATTATATGGGACTATAGACTATGACTATATGGGACTATGGACTATAGAACTATAGACTATATGGGAATATAGACTATGAGTATATGGGACTATGGGATTATAGACTATATGAGAGTATGAACTATGAGATTACAGACTATATGGGACTATAGACTATAACTATATGGGACTATGGGACTATAGACTATATGGGACTACATACTATAGAACTATAGACTATATGGGAATATAGACTATGAGTATATGGGACTATGGGATTATAGACTATATGAGAGTATGAACTATGAGATTATAGACTATATGGGAATATGGACTATGGGACTATAGACTATAACTATATGGGACTATAGACTATGACTATGTGGGACTATGGACTATAGACTATATGGGAATATAGACTATGAGTATATGGGACTATGGGATTATAGACTATATGAGAGTATAAACTATGAGAATATAGACTATATGGGACTATGGGACTATAGACTATAACTATATGGGACTACAGACTATAGAACTATAGACTATATGGGATTATGGGATTATAGACTATATGAGAGTATGGACTATGAGATTATAGACTATATGGGACTATGGGATTATAGACTTTGTCTGTATGGGACTATGGTCTATGGGACTATAGACTCTGGGGGTTTTATTACTAAAACTGGAGAATACAAAATGTGGTGCAGCTGTTCATGGTAGCCAATCAGCATCTGTCGTCAGCTTTTTTAATTAAACTTTGACCATACAACCTGGAAGCTAATTGGTTTATATGCAGAGCTGCACCAGATTTTGCACTCTCCAGTTTTAATATATCACCCTATGACTATAGACTATAGCAGGGACTATATGGAACTGTAGACAATGGATTATAGTGTACATAGAGCAATTCACCGGACCACAACTAATGTACACTGCTCCTTTCAAACAAAAAGAAGAAAAAGAGATCCTGAAAAATAGATGACAGGGCCATTAAGTAGTGGATGTGTATGGATTATGTTTGGAGATTAAGTATATTGTTGAGTGTCACTTTAACATATTGCTTTATTTTCCCTAACAATCTTTGTCTGCTCTACTTGTAGTCACCATTCTATATGATTAACGTCATATTCTCGTCCTTCCCATCAAGTCACTGTTTCAGTATACTCATATCATTATTGTATCTCCACTACTATATTTTACGCATTGTTATGTCATGTGTGTCAACAAACTAGTGACCGATAACTTGCCTCCCTTATGTAACACATTCTCCCTATAAAAACTGTAGTATAAGAAAGAGAAAACAGACAATGCACTATAATTACAGCCTAGAACATTTTCTTCTCCACCTTTATAATATCCCATTCAAAAAAAGTTATTGTTGCAAAACTACAGCACATTCCATGCATACATAGTTTGACTTATTACGCATTTTGGAGCTACTGACTTATTACTTGGATGTGACCATTTTTACATGTACCCCATATTTTCATGGCTGTTTTTGGTCTACAAATCTGTACAGTGTACCCCAGACATATCAGGGAGTGGAGTTAATGTCCCTGCTGAACAACTGATGAGAAAAAAACCAATTGGGGTCCAAGGATACTATTTCTATCAGCTGGCCATATACTGCTTGGAGCAAGCAGCTTGCTAGGGGGGCACCCAAGCAGACTCGCCCCCGAGCCACTGCTCTGTGTGCCCATTCACTCCCCCATCGGCTCACTGGCTGTGATTGCAAGCAACGGGAGCCAATGAGCTGTCTCAGTCAATGAGGAGGGAGAGTCCACGGAGAGCCGAGGATCTTGTGCACACCACTGGATCACGAAGGGGCTCAAGCAGGGGTTGGGGGGGCCTGGGGGTGTGTTGCTGCACACAGGTGTTTTACCTTCATACATAAAATACATGATTGTAAAAAACCTTAAGCTTTTACAACCACATTAAAGGAACACAACTACCAATTGGTCATCCATAATTTAATTAGCACTCAGGGCTCATCCACACTTGTGGATGCTCTTGCTGCCCCTGTGAAAGGCAAACCGCAGTGGATTGCTTTTCAGAGGGAAGTTGACAGATGGTTGGGAGGTGATATGTTACCTCCTCACTGCCTGTTTAGACCATGTAAAGCCTGCACTACCACACAGAAACGGCACACATCATGCATGGTTGCAGGTTGCTGCTTCCAGTCCACCCGCAAGCTCCTGGCACACTCATCAGGAGGCTGAAGGACCAAATTGACAGCACAACGCGATTTAATGCAAGTGCAGTTGGGAACCAATTGAGAAACAGGAACTCACAGTTGGGTCTCACACTCAAGATGGCGGTGCTGGGGATCCAAAGACCAGAGAAGAACCAGCCCCAGTGAAGACAGCGCTGTACTCCTGACCTGGTGATAGTCTGTTTGTTAAAAGACAGTAGCTACATTATATGGAGCTGCTGAGTATTAATTTTGTTATTAAATGAGATTCTCCTTAAGGAGGGAGGTCAAGATGTGGTAAAACGGTGGCCCTATTTTTGCCGCCCCCTGGCCGCAAGTGTGATAAACGCCAATCATTGCGGAATTGTTTTCTATGTGCCCTGTTCACACTACAGCGCTGGTGTGATATATGAAAAATGCTGACATGTTGCATTTTTCTGCAGCGCACTAGATGGCACTGCATGTCACCGCACTGCACATTGCTCTCCGCCGCACCTCACACTGACAGCTGCCCACACAGTAAGGGTCTGTTAACACCAGAGTACAGTGCGGGGAAACCCACGTTCCGTGTGCTTTTCCTGCACCACGCTTGTGATCTGCAGAGGGTGTCAATGTTGACTCAATGACACCCCAAAGGTAGATCACAAACACAATGCATTTGCCTGCACCAGACTGCATGATGCTACTGTACCATGTGATCTGATTTTTTATAGTAGTGTATGCATTACTTTTGGTATGGCCTGGTGCGGTTCAACTGAATGGGCTGAAATCGCACTGCACCCCAATCACATGTGAATAGCACAGGAACGTGCTGTGCATTCCTGTGTAATTAACTGGCCCTAAATATCTGCATTTTACCACGTGGGCTAAAATGAAAAAGGCCCTAAAGAATTTCTGCAAATCCCTCCAATCTGAACGAAATCATCCGTCATATCAGTAAAAAAAAGAACTGCAGACAAAATGCTCCTTTTTAATACACAGAGAAAGGAAGGGTTTAAACCCCTATCAGGCTTTTGCTGCTGTGCCCCCATTGAGAAGCATTCCCCTCACTTCCTGTCTCTGTGACACCCTGTGTGTCAGTTGCCATGGGACACAAAAATAACAACTGCTCCTTCTTCACTCTATCCAAAGCAAAATAATAACCTGGGCTTTAATCTATTCATGACCTGCAGTAACATGTTTAATTATTTCATAGAAGATAATCCCAAGGATTTGGAGTCACATACCTGCATTTAGTTATATGAGGATTCACTAGCAGAATATTCCGGAAGGACCTGTCAGTGGTAAATAGCGTTTTTCTATTATGTATCAGGAGGAAATCTGCAATTAGAAGCAGCAGACACATTTAGCTCTTTCCCAGGACTTCACGTTTCACAGATTGATCCCCTTACTACATAGTGAGGTGGCTGGTTTGGGGTACAAGGCTGAGTGAGGGGCCACAGCTGGAGTCTGGGTACACTTGTGATACCTAAGGACAGGGCTATTAGAGCTGCACCTCCAGGCCCTTACCTTAACCCCTTGCTGCCCAAGGATGTCCCTGTATGTCCTTGAGTTGAGGTGGTTATCCTGGGATAATGCCTGCACCTCCAGGCCCTTACCTTAGGATGTCCCCGTATGTCCTTGAGTTGAGGTGGTCATCCCAGGATGATGCCTGCACCTCCAGGCCTTACCTTAGGATGTCCCCGTATGTCCTTGAGTTGAGGTGGTCATCCCGGGATAATGCCTGCACCTCCAGGCCCTTACCTTAGGATGTCCTCGTATGTCCTTGAGTTGAGGTGGTCATCCCGGGATAATGCCTGCACCTCCAGGCCCTTACCTTAGGATGTCCCCGTATGTCCTTGAGTTGAGGTGGTCATCCCAGGATGATGCCTGCACCTCCAGGCCTTACCTTAGGATGTCCCCGTATGTCCTTGAGTTGAGGTGGTCATCCCGGGATAATGCCTGCACCTCCAGGCCCTTACCTTAGGATGTCCCCGTATGTCCTTGAGTTGAGGTGGTCATCCCGGGATAATGCCTGCACCTCCAGGCCCTTACCATAGGATGTCCCCGTATGTCCTTGAGTTGAGGTGGTTATTCCGGGATAATGCCTGCACCTCCAAGCCCTTACCTTAGGATGTCCCCTCCGCTTTCCACCAGCTGACCATGGAGACCATCAAGTACTGGAAGGTCTCTATGGTCTAAGAAACCAGAAGCGTCACATATTTTGTCATTTCCGATTTCAGTTTTCTGTTTACTGGCTGGGTGCTGGACAGTAAGGCTACTTTCACACTGATCACACACAAAAACACAGCAAAAATGCATTGGCGTTTTTACCACGCTTTTGCTGTGCTTTCTGATTGTTTTTTTAAAGGACATGTGACTTAAACACTGCACCAAATACGCTTCTCAGTGGCATTTTTGAGGTGCATTTCAGGTGTTTTTTAGGTGTTTTTCAGGCGTTTTCCATTGAGGCGTTTTTGGGGCGGTTTTTTTAACTCACCAAACATGCCCCAAAGATGCTGCACGCAGGAGTTTTTGCACCGCACTGCCAGCGCAATGCCTCAGTGTGAAAACATAAATAGATATACATTCACATACATAGGGAAGTATTTTTCTTGTGCTTTTCAGGCACTTTTTTTTAACGCAAAAACGCTTCAAAATTTCCTCACTGTGAAAGTATCCTAAAGTAGCCGATCAGACAGATCTAAGTCTGATCAGTTGCTTTGGAGGCCAGAGGGGAGGTCTGATGTGTAATCAGGGGCGGACTGACAACTCATGGGGCCCCCGGGCAATAGGGGATCATGGGGCCCCTGTGTCCTTGCCCAAACTCAAAAAAGCCTATGAAAAAGGCACCAGGGGCATCTCATGGGGCCCCCTACTGACCCCGGGCCCTTAGGCAGTGCCCGAGTTTCCAAATGGTCAGTCCGCTCCTGTGTCTAACAGATCTTTCTAAAAAGAGTACCTGTCACTGCATATTGCTGTCACAAGGGGTGTTTAAATTCCTTCTGACAGCAATAAAAGTGATAGGCCCCTTTCACACGAGTGGACCAAATGGGTCTGCCTGTTGGTTTTTCAGGCAGACCCGACTGGACACTCCATTGCTCTCGGAAGTGGCGGGTGTAAATGGAAATATGTCCATTTACATCTGCCTGCATCCGATCTGATCCTATATGCTAAACAGTGGTGTATTTAGGATTCGTGCTGCCCTAGGCAAGACAAAAATTGGCTCCCCCCATTGACCAACAACACCCCAGCATCCCCCAACCCCACCCAAGAGAGCCTTCCACTACCACCGCCTCCCATACACTGGCAACCCCCACCTCAACAAGAGATAAGACACTCACCTTCACAGCTCCGGACATTCCCAGGAACAAGAGTCAGGCTCTGCATACACCATCAAGCAGCCCCCAGCCTCTCTCAGATCCCACCTGGTCCCCGTGCTGCGTGTCCCTTCTTCCTTTCCTTCTTTTGGGGGACAGTGCTGCCCCCCTGAAGAATGCTGCTACCCCCCTGAAAAATTCCACCCTAGGCAAATGCCTTGTTTGCCTTGTGGTAAATACACCCCTGACACTAAAAACAGACGGATAGGGATCCGTTCCCCATCCATCCAGTGGATCGGATCGGATGACAGTCAGATGGAACCAGACAAGCAATCCATTTCTTTCTGACTGCCCAGTGAGCACAGTGGGCTGTGTCCGTTTTGCATAAACGGAGCAGACACGGACTTTTCCTCCGCTTGCTCAGTGGGCAGATCCCCCGCTGGGCAAGCGGATTCACTGACGGGTCCGCCCTGTGTGAAAGGGGCCATAAAAAATGTTTTTAAAGTGTAAAAATTTAAAATATAAAAAACAAACTTCCAATGGGGACACTAGTTCTAGTGACAATCGGGGATTTGCTCACTTTCTGTTTTGGCTATGAGACAGGAAGTGAAGGGAAATCTCCCCAATGGGATATGGTATAAAAAGAAAAACTGTCAGGGTCTCTAGCCCTCCCTTTGCCTTTAGTTGTACATTAAGGAACAGAGTGTAGTGCAACTATCATCAGCAATCGACTGATTTGGCTTTAAAGAAATGCCCGTAGCGAATAAGGAAGAATGAAAATATCGCAGGGCATACATGACTAGGCCCAGAGTGGTGTAGGGGAACGGAAAGAGTTAAAGTTAGCTCCAGGGGGTGGGGAATTGATTGTGGGATTATCGGGTTGGCAGAGGTGGAGTGTAGGAGGGGTCTGTGGCACCTTAGGGTGGGGGGTTCTGTGGAAGGGGCGTCAGTGGAGCTGGACGTGAGCAAGGACCAGAGCTTCCCTCCCGCCCTCCCTGTTTGGTTGGGGTATCGGGTCTCTTCCGGGGGCAGGTTAGAAAAAAAAAAAGGTAGAAAAGGGGGTTTTCTGTTGGTTCGCGGGCGGTTGTTGGTCTTTGGAGGCGGTTCTCATCTTGGAAGGTAAAACAATGGTGTGGGACCCATCAGTGGTATGGGGGGCCCGGTGGATATTCCCAGTTAAGCAAGGTTTAACTGGAAGGTGGTGGTGCTGCACTGCGGACGGTATGGTTGTCTCCGAGCTGGTTGGTTGCGGCTGGAGGCCTAGTGTATAGGGTTGTCCGCAGGTGCATTTTGGATCGTTTGTGGATGCCTTTGAAGACCAACAACAATTCTTTGGTTTCCGTTACGGAACGGTTGATGTATGTTAAAATGTGAAGTTGTTAATAAAAGGCCATGTTGGCCATTTACTCCAAATGGTGTCATGTTTTTTGTAAAGTTTATTTGGTTAAGGGGGGTGTGGATGTGGAGTGGTATGGATAGGTAATGGTGGAAGTAGGAGTGGACAAGCCTATCTATGGTGCATTAGTCATGGAAAAATGTTTAATGTTTTTCCAGTGTATATATTTTTATTGTCCCTGATACCGTATGTCTAAATATAGCTATAATACAATCAAGTCTCAGTTGTTCTATAAATAGCGCAATGTTTCCATAAATTCACAGCGACTTTACATGCAAGGGATTTCATTCTTTAGACTTGTTAATCTTTTTGCCTGGAGCCGAGCCAAGATTCCACTTTTCCATAAACTTGCTGAAGACACAGCTTATCCGGCAAGAGCCGATTCATGTCATGGCATTTGCCTCCCTTCACTAAATACGAAAGCTTGTTGGTATTCTTGTCAAAACCCGACTCAGAATCCATGAGAATGTGGACCTGATGTGCTGCAGAGTGCCTCTCTCAGTGCCGGGTTTAGGAGTACATGACACACAGAGCAGGGTCAGTAGTGTGTAATGCATACTGGGGGTCAGGAGTACAAAACGAAGAGTGCAGGGGTGTGTAACACACAGCCAGGGAAGTGCAAGTTCCCCCAAAAGCAATAGTCTCCTATTTTTCCCTTTCAGCAAAAATCACCACTTCCCTTCAAAAAAAAACAAACAGCACAAATCTGTACACTCACCTCAATTGCCCCTTTCAGCTCCTACCCAAATCCCCCTTCCCAATACAAATCCCTGTTCCCCAAACCCCCCTCCTAACAAAAAAATCCCCCCAGCATAAATCCTCCTCCATTCTCCCTCCACCATTGTATTCCCCCTTCAGGCACAAATCTTACACCCCATACCTCTTCTCATGCAAATCCTTTTCCCCTTCAAATCCCCCCCGCCGCCGCCGCACAAACCCTCTTTCTCTCCAATATCCCTCCCAGAACAAATCCCCCCTTTCACTACAAATCTTCCACCCCCTCTTCTCCTCCTCCCCCTTAACATACATCCTCCCCCGAGCACAAATCCTCTCCCCCAAATTCCCCCTTTCACTACAAATCCTCCACCCCCTCTTCTCCTCCTCCCCCTTAGCATACATCCTCCCCCAAGCACAAATCTTCTCCCCAAGTTCCCCCTTTCACTACAAATCCTCCACCCCATTTTCCCCTCCTCCCCCTTAGCACACATCCTCCCCCCAGTTCAAATCTCCTGCCCCAAATTCCCCCTTTCACTACAAATCCTCCACCCCTGCTTCCCCTTCTCCCCCTAAGCACACATCCTCCCCCCAGTACAAATCTTCTCCCCCAAATTTCCCTTCACTACAAATCCTCCATCCCCTCTTCCCCTCCTCCCCCTTAGCACACATCCTCTCCCCAGTACAAATCTCCTCCCCCAAGTTCCCCCTTTCACTACAAATCCTCCACCCCCTGTTCCCCTCCTCCCCCTTAGCACACATCTTCCCCCAGCACAGATAAATCTCCTCCCCCAAATTTCCCCTTTCACTACAAATCCTCCACCCCCTCTTCCCCTCCTCCCCCTTAACACACACCTTCTCCCCCAGCAAAAATAAATCTTCTCCCCCAAATTGCCCCTTTCACTACAAATCCTCTAACCCCCTACCCAATCCCCCCCCCCTTAGCACAAATCCTTTTCCCCCTTTCTAGTACAAATCCCCCCTCCCAGCACAAATCTCTGCGACCCCCCCAAATCTCCCATCCCAGCACCAATCACTCCTTCCAGTACAAATTATTTCCCTCATTCTATCACACATCCCCTTTCTAGCACGAATTGCTCCATCCCAGCACAAATCCTCTTTCCCCTTTTAGCACAAATCTCTCCCACCCCATCCCTTCCCTTGTAGCACAAATCCTCTCCCCTCACCCCAAATCTCCCCTGAGCACAAATTAACCCTCCCCTCCCCCAATCACTCCTCCCAGCATAGATCCAATTTTCATTTCAGCACTGGATTCGCAGGATGCCTGAAATTTGTTAGAGGAATGCAATAAAAGCCTGACAGATGTTCTATCCTGTCTTGGCTCTGCTTCTGTTGCTGTCTCTGTCCCCACCACAGAAATGTCCTATTACTTCCTGTGCTTTTCATACTCTGTTACTGGGACAGGAAGTGAGGGTTAAATCTACTCAGTGGGGACACAGACGGCAGTAAACACCTGACAGAGGTTCTAACACCCCCCTTTACAAAACTAGAAAAAGAGAAGGGGATGTGCCCCTCATTTACTAGGCCCAATCTTTTCAGGTCGGGAACATCTGCCCAATCAAAGCTGATTCTGCGTTTTGATGATCCAAATCGCTCCTCTGTACAGCGGAGTCCAGCTAACCCTTCCATCCCTCCAATGTGGGAACTGAGGAAACCAGCAGGATGTGTGACTTCCTCTATAATGATGGATCCCTCTGGTATCTCCTTCCGGAACCCTCCGAGTGTTAACAAATGAAATGTATCAAAAGCAGCAAAATATTTGTCTTGTGTGCACTGAACTCTCACTGCTACGAGCAGGAAACGTCTGACCGATGGACTCCGCACTCACATATGAAGTGATCATGGCTTTGTAGGCCAGTCCACAGCATCCCAACAAAATAAATAAATAAATAAACAAAACAGTTAAAGTTATTATTTATTTTTACATTTGGATTGGTGGAGAGGGATTAGGTTTTTATTGCTGTCTGTTTCCTTGTTAGGGAGATTTACACTCTAATTGCCCTGACTGCCAGTATCAAAGTGAAGGAAATCTATAATGTTGAGTTGCCACTAGAACAGGAGGAGAGGGGAAATCTTCCAATGGGGGACACTAATTCTCTAAGAGGGGATTTATTATTATTATACAGGATTTATATAGCGACAACAGTTTGTTCAGCGCTTTACAATGTAAAGGGAGACAATACAGCAACAATACAGTTCAATACAAGAGGGATTTGAGGGCCCTGCTCCTTGGAGCTTACAATCTAAGCGGGAGGGGCTGGTGGTACAAAAGGTAATATCTCCTAGATTGTAAGCTCCAAGGAGCAGGGCCCTCAAATCCCTCTTGTATTGAACTGTATTGTTGCTGTATTGTCTTCCATTATATTGTAAAGCGCTGAGCAAACTGTTGGCTCTATATAAATCCTTTATAATAATAATAATAATAATAATAACTGTAGGGGATGGACTGGTAGGAGGAATTATTATTATTATACAGTATTTA